AAAAAAAAAAGAAAACACTATAGTGATCCCTCAAAAAATTAAAAATAGAACTACCGTATGATCCAGCAATTCCACTTCTGGGTGTATTTCCAAAATAACTGAAAGCAGCAACTCTAGATACTTATACACCTATGCTCATAGCAGTACTATTCATAATACCAAAAAGGTGGATGGAACCCAGTACCCACTGCCAGATGAATGGATAAACCAAAGGTGGTTACATATCAACAATGGAATATTATTCAGCCTTAAATAGGGAGGAAATTCTGACATGTGCTCTATATAGATAACCCTTGAGGACATCATGCTCAGTGAAACAAGCTAGTCACAAAATGACAATGCTGTGTGATTCCACTTTTATGAGGTCCCTGGAGTATTCAAATTCATAGAGTCAGATGGTAGAATGGCAGGTGACAGGGGCTAAAAGGAGGGGGAATAGGCAATTCATGTTTGATGGGGACAGTTCTAGTTTGGAAAGATGAAAAAGTTCTGGTGATGGGTGGTGGTGATGGCTGCATAACACTGCAAATACACTTACGGTCACTGACCTGCACTCTTACAAATAGTTAACATGGTACATTTGATGCTACCACAATTTAAAAAAAAGAAAAAAACATGTGGTTGAGTCATATGTACAGATGTTGGCTGATGGCCACAGGGAGAAAGGCAGGAAAACCTGCAGGCTGGCAGCACTGGGAGGTTGGTGCTGCTTCTGTTCCATGTCCTTCTAGGACCAGAACAGAGCCTGGCTGTGAGAACACCCTGGAGTGAACTGGATTTGTCTGGGGTTCCAGCAGCTGCATGCAGCCATGTACTGCCCAGCCACACTCCTGCTCATGCTCCTGGTCAGTGGGGCTGAGGCCTTTCGCATCTGTGCCTTCAACGCCCAGCGTCTGACACTGGCCAAAGTGGCCAGGCAGCAAGTGATGGACACCTTAGTTCGGGTAGGTTCATCACTCAAGGAAGCTGTGCCCCTAAGTACCATGACCCAAAGCCCACAGCCCTGCCTGGCCAGGGGTATGTCCCAAAGAAGAGGGTACAGAGGAAGATACAGTGTGGAGAGGTACAGCCTCAGTCTCCTCCTCTGCTAATGGGGTCTGGGTGGGGACAGCACTCAATCCCCTCTTGGGTCCTTTCTAATCCCACTGTTTTCTATGGGCTGGCCTTCCTGGTGTCCTGCAGATCCTGGCTCGCTGTGACATCATGGTACTGCAGGAGGTGGTGGACTCTTCTGGCCATGCTATCCCACTCCTGCTTCGAGAACTCAACCGGTGAGGAAGGTTCTGTAGATCTAATCAAGGTCCCACCCAGAGCCTTGGGGGCCCTAACCCTGGTTTCCCTTTTTCTTGGCAGATTTGATGACTCTGGGCCCTATAGCTCCTTGAGCAGCCCCCTGCTGGGGCGCAGTACCTACATGGAGAAGTACGTCTACTTTTATCGGTAAGCTGGAGGTTGGCCCTGTGGCCCTGCTGAAATGGCTCATTAGTCCCAGGGGCTATAGAACCTTCCCTTCTGGAACAGCCTTGCCTTCTCATCATGCCTTTTCTTCTTAACAGTTTGATTCTGGCATCCTTCTTTTTTTTCTAGAGACAGAGTCTCACTTTATTGCCCTTGGTAGAGTGCCGTGATGTCACAGCTCATAGCAACTCCAACTTCTGGGTTTAGGCGATTCTCTTGCCTCAGCCTCCCAAGTAGCTGGGATCACAGGCACCTGCCACAACGCTCAGCTATTTTTTTGTTGCAGTTTGGCCGGGGCTGGGTTTGAACCCGCCACCCTCAGTATATGGGGCTGGTGCCCTGCTCAGTGAGCCACAGGCGCCGCCCTGATTCTGGCATCTTTCATCCTCTGTTCCAGCTGTATGTACCTATGGCAGGAGGCCTTCTCTGTGTACAAATGTGGACTCTCTCTTCCTCTCCCCTGTGAAAGGTGCCAAGGCTCAGGGCATGGCTCTCCCCTTCTTTGGGAATAAACTCAATGGGGGCTAGTTATGGGAGGACAAGTTGAGAGGGAGGAACCCTTTGGAGTCAGGGTCAAGAGGGCAAGGGGGACTGTCAGGGAAGGAGACCTGTGTCTCTACATAGATGAAATTAGAGGCAGCTCACACTTATAATCCCAGCATTTTGGGAGGTTTAGGTGGATCACTTGAGGCCAGGAGTTCAAGGTTACAGTAACCTGATCATGAGAGTGCACTCCAGCCTGAGTGACAGAGCAAGACCTAGTCTTTTAAAAAAAGGGACAGGAGTGATGGCTCATGCCTATAATCCTAGTACTCTGGGAGGACAAGGAGGGTGGATTGCCTTGAGTTCAGAGGTTTGAGACCAGCTTGAACCAGAGTGAGACCCCATCTCTACAAAAAAAAAGCCAGGCATTAATGGTGGGCGCCTATAGTCCCAGCTACTTGGGAGGCTGAGGCAAGAGAATCGCTTGAGCCCAAGAGTTTGAGGTCGCTGTGAGCTATGATGCTACAGCACTCTACTAAGGGCCACAAAGTGAGACTCTATCTCAATAAAAATTAAATAGGCTTACACTTGTAGCTCAGCGGCTAGGGCACCAGCCACATACACTGAAGCTGGCGGGTTCAAATCCAGATCCAGCCTGCCAAACAACAATAACAACTATGACAACAAAATAGCCGTGTGTTGTGGTGGGCACCTGTAGTCCCAACTACTTGGGAGGCTGAGATAAGAGAATAGCTTAAGCCCAAGAGTTTGAGGTTACTGGAGCTGTGACACCATGGCATTCTACCCAGGGTGACAGCTTGAGACTTTGTCTCAAAAAATAAGTAAATAGGCTCGGCGCATGTGGCTCAAGTGGCTAAGGCACCAGCCGCATACACCTAAGGTGGCGGGTTCCAATCCAGCCTGGGCCTGCCAAAAACAACAATGATGGCTGCAACCAAAAAATAGCCGGGCGTTGTGGCAGGCGCCTGTGGTCCCAGCTACTTGGGAGGCTGAGGCAGGAGACTCGCT